TTTTTTTTTTATCATGGCTAATTAGAGTTCTACATGCCTCACTTACTTGAATGTCAAGTTTTTTACCCTTGCCAGGGAAGCTTTCTTCCACAACATCTATGAACAGGTTGTTGTCATTGTTGTTCTTTATGTGATTTGCACTGTCTCCTGCTTTTTTGTTGACTACAAACAATATTATGTGATTCTTCTTTGTATCTCCTAGAAGCTGCTGGATTGATTTCTCATGATCCCTTGCTATTTTCAAGAAATCTTTCTTTTCATGATTGCTAACTGTAAGCCTCTCTTTTAGACTCTGGCCTCACGCTGGTTTATTGTGCTGCAGATACGTTCAGTCTCCTGGACATTGGCTTGGATCTGTTTTTTGGATTCCATTTGTTTCCTGTGTTGGGCATTCATGGTTTCATTTTCCTAAATTCTTCTTCTTTTAAACTGTATCTATTCTAGAATAACTAAGCATGTTTTTCATTGTGGTCATCATCTCTGTAGTTACCTGAGAAGTTACTTCTGAGTTGCTTTTTTTGGTACAGCTTCATTCATCTGCTTTGTTGTTACCACTTCAGAGAGGCAGGTGGGTGGCTCTGGGCCTGTGCCATCTTACTGCCCTTTGGGCTTGCCGTTGGTGCACTGAGTGTCTGGGGTTGCATCATGTGTGTCTTCTTGATTTCCTCTTTTTTCTCTTCCTTTTCCTCTTCCTTTAGTTTAATCCCTTAGTTGGCACTTGTAAGTTGCCTGTGGTGAGTAGCTTTATTGCTGGTTTGAAAACCTTAGAAAATGACTACTTCTCAGAGGTGTCTTCCAGCTGTAGCTGGTTTTCAGGTTTTGAGCTTGTTGCAGGATCCCACCTCTTGCGTTTGTTGGAGGTGAGAAGTTGCTGCCTCCTTTGCCCAGCCCCTTGGCCCTTTGGCTCTGTGCCACAGTGTTTCCCCTGACTCTGGAGCAGCTTAGTCTTGGTGTATCAGGAAGAACAGCTGGTTAGAAAAATTATGTCATTGTGGCTAAAGTGGTACAGTCAGCAATGACAACAGTTTCAAACGCACCCTAGAAAATGACAAGCTGAGGTAACTTTAATTTGCCATCTTTAACCATATGAAGTAGATTTGTGGTTATGTAATAAAACGCACAGTGGAGCTTTTGTTTTGTTTTTTGTCTGGTGCTGGAGATAAAATTCAGGGTGTTGCTCTCACCAGACAGGTGCTTGTGCTGCTGAGCTGTGTCCCCAGCAGCAAGATGCAAAACAAACCAAAAAATGTATGCAGTGAATAAACCCTCCGTGTGATGGTTTTACCTTCAGGGGAGAAACTTTAAAAGGGATTGGGATAAAAAAATAGAGAAGGAGGAGGAGAAATTAGAGACGAGGCTAGAGAACTAATAAGGCTCATGCAAACTGTGGGAAACTAGTGCAGAAGACAGACAGGACAGAGAAGTAGGACAGAACAGCAGCCATGAAGAAACGAAGGGGACATTCACGCTCGTAGAAACAAGATCAGTGTCGTGGTTACTCTTCTCTCGTTGCTGGGACCACTACCCGACACCCAGAATTAGGGAAGGAGAGGTTCGTTTAGCTCACAGTTAGTGGAGGTATCAGTCCATCCTCGACTGGCTCCAAGGCAGAGCGGCACAGGGCAGAGGGGAGCCGTTCGTGGTAGTGGCAGAGAACACGACAGCAAAAGCAAAAGGGAGGAGCAGCAGCAACAGTGGCGCAGAGAGCAGGCCTCTCCTTTCCTTCTGTTGCATTCAGGCTGTCCATCCCAGGCTAGTGTAGCACTCACACCCATAACCTAGCAGTACTTAGACCCATAATCCCATCCTTGGGTCATGAATTAATCACATACTCTAGAACTGCACCACAGTGGCTACATGAGGCTTTGGGAGGACAACTACACGCAAACCATAACAAACAGTGAAAAAAAAAAGCCAAAACAAGAAGAAAAAGTGTCCCCTTTAAGGTTGTTTCTGCTGTCCCTGGAGACAGTGTCTGGAGACAGAGTCCAGATCCCTGTTGATTTATCCCAGAAAGCCAGCAGTAGCGCTATAGTGGGTTGTGGATAACCTCAGCAGGCCTGCGCCTCTCTGCCCCTGAAGTTCAGGCTGGTTTCTCACTGTGGGGCTGGACCCAGACCTGTCCAGCCACAGCAGTCAGCATACCCTCTGTGGGTGGGCTCGGCCTCAGCTGAGCGCTGCTAAGTGGAGCTGACAGCAGCTGAATTCTGAGCTCGGTGGACCCCTTTCTGGTATGGCTCACAGCCAGCCACCCTCCCCCTCAGAAGGCCCGAGTCCATGCCACTCAGCACCCGTGTGGCAGGCCACGGCATCCACTGTACGGTTTTCGACACCAGCACTAAGTGTAAACACTCACTACTAAATACCAATAATAAAGGAAATTAAAACTGTGCAGTTACCACAAATGCACAAATAAAGTACAGTTGTGTTCCTCGCTTCCTCCACCGCCACCTCCACCCTACCCCAGGGAGGATGGCAGGACCAGCTCTGGTTTCTTTGGGGCTTTTAGAAGACTCTTCTCTTGCGCTTGTTGCGGCCTTCCCACCGCAGGTCTCCACATCCTCTGAGCCCAGGTCCCAGACATTTCTCAGCTCAGGTGTCCTCCAGTGACAACCTTGGAGACCCAGCCATGCCAGGCCTCTTGCTGTCCCTCTGCACTTATAGCCGTTGTGTCACAGCTCTTCCTCCCTAGCCTGTTCCCGTGGGTCCATGCCAAGCCTAAGCCACACCTCTGCGCTGTGGGCCGCCCTGCCACTTCCACTCTCCTTTTTGGAGTCCTCTCTCCTGAGCGCTCCCCATGTGTGCAGACACCTCCACATCCCCCTGTACCATTTTTCTTTGTTTGAGACAGGGTTTCGCTGTGTGATTCAGCCTGGCCCTGAATCCACTATGTAGCGTAGGCTGGCCTCAAACTCGTGTCTCAGCTTGCCAAGCGCTGGTTTTATGGGCACTAGATTTTTTATTGGGGGGGGGGGGCACTAGAATTGAGACAAGCTCTCAGCGAACTTGAAGTGAAGAGAAGCTGCAGGAAGAAAAAGGGCTAGTAGGAGAGGAAATGCCTCACTGCCCCCACTGTGTCGTGTGGCTCACTGAGGTGAGCAGGCTCACCTAGGAACAGACACTGCTATGAGGGGTGTGTGTCGTGAAGCACCCACTCCCGTGGTAGCTCCTCAGCATGAATGCAGGGCACAGGCGGCGCGGGCATAGCCAGCTCACTCTTGGGTGTAAGCGCTCGAGGGGGCGCTGTTGAGTCTTGGTCAGTGCTGATGTTTGCCTTCTTAAACAGGTCACGTTCCAAGCCTGCAGCATATCAGAGGCCAGTTACCTTTACGATCAGCTGGCCACTATCTGTCCCATCGTCGTAAGTAGAAATTGCACCTTGTTTACATACTTCTTAGCCGTGGGAATAAGATCATGTGCAGAATTTGCTGTTAGTGTGCTATTTCAGTCCAGGTAAGGGTTCTTTCAGAGACGAACTATGTAAGGCCAGACATAGGGGAACATGCCTGAAATCTCAGCATTTGGGAGGCTGAGGCAGGAAGATTGCCATGAATTCAAGGCCAGCCTGAGCCTCATAGTGAGGCCCTATCTCCAAAAAGCAAAAACAAAAGAGGAAATGAACAACATAAGTAGCATGCCAGCTGAGAATTAATAAACTGAAAGCCTGAGCTGTGGGCCCCTAACTGTTGCTAGTGAAACCACGTGTGTCACACAGGTCGCGTGTGTGGCCTTGTCCCTCTTGCATCCTGTCTCCACACTGTAGAGAAAGCGGGCTGAGCATTCAGAACCATGGCTTTGGGATATTTCTAGTTTGTGTCCCTCTCAAAAGCAGCCCAGGCACATGGTGTAACTCTGTGTGGGTTGCCCAGACTGGTTCTCAACCCAAAAGTGCGCCATGCTCGTGCCCCCGGGAGCAAGTGGCCTCTGAGTGAGGCGCCGGCCTGCCTTGTTTGCAGATGGCGTTGAGCGCCGCATCCCCTTTCTACCGAGGCTACGTGTCCGACATCGATTGTCGCTGGGGCGTGATCTCCGCGTCCGTAGATGACAGGACTCGGGAGGAGAGAGGACTAGAGGTGGGTGCTTCCTCGCTTGAGCGTCCTCACAGCCGTGGGAAGAATGGTTGGTGGGGCTGTTGACTGCGTGCTGCCCCGCTGCTCGCCTGGAGTGGCCGGCACACGCAGCCGCAGTACTGGGACACTGCCTGTTGTGGTGACTGTGGGACAGCGATATAGGGTAGGGAGTAGCTGTCATCATTTGTCCATGTCTTGTGTTTTAGCTTCTTTCCCAATAATAGCTCAGGTTTCTGGTTGAGAAGTCGGTGCTGATGGCTCTGAGCCCATGCAAACACTGTGAGACCCTCAGTCTGAGGGGGCGCCTGGTCGGCAGAGTTGGCCTTCAGGGAGAGTGGGGCTTGGACAAGGGTGGCCCGGCCTGCTCCTCTGCGTGTTCAGCTTGAGCGCTGTGCCTCGCAGGATGGCGGTGCCACCATTCATCCATGAGTGGTTTTAGATCAGTGGCCAACCCTTCCAGGCTTGGGAGAATCTGTGTAGCTGGAGCCTAGGCATGGATATTTTTAAAGGAGTTGCCCACAAGAAGTCCAGTGTTCTCAGCTTGGGCTCTTCTGCTCTGACGGAGCTATATCCCCAATCCCTTTTATTTTATTTCTTTGTTTCATTTTGAGTCAGAGTCTTACCAAGTTACCTGGGCTGGGCTCAAGCTTGTGATCCTCCTGCCTCAGCTTCCCAGGGTGCTAAGATTACAGGAGTGTGCCAGCGTCCCTGGCTGCTACTCTGGTCCTTGTGTAACTATCTGCTACATATTGAATGTGCTGTCTAGAACGTATCCTTAAAAATATTGTTATGGGCCAGCAAGATAGCTCAGTGGACTAAGCACCTGCTTAGGCAAGCAGAGAGACCAGGGTTCGATCCACAGCACCATATACTGCATTGGCCCTGCCCCGCGACATACTGTGGTGGCCACCGAGATCAGGCGGCACACCTATAATCCCAGTGCTGGGGAGGCTGAACACAGGAGGATCACTGTGTATCTGAGCTGCATGGTGAAACCCTTGCTAAATACATAAAGAAAAAGCATTTTTTTTCCAAAGTTTTATTGATAAACAGATAGCAATGAGACAGTTTCAAATCAAATTGGAAGTACAGTTTCAACAAATAATACACTGCATATATTCTTCTTAGTAGCATTTTTTAAATTGTTATATATTAGTTGAGGTGTTAACTTCCAGGTCATTCTGTGGCATTCATTCATACTTTTTGTATCGCAGCCGCTGAAGAACAATAAGTATCGGATCAGTAAGTCCCGATACGACTCAATAGACAGCTACTTATCTAAGTGTGGTGAGAAATACAACGACATCGACCTGACCATAGACAAAGGCGTCTATGAGCAGCTGGTGCAGAATGGTGAGCAGCCCTGGCGGGCGGCTGGGCGTGGCCGCGCGCCCTTTGTTCTTGAGAGCACTCTCCGCCGCCTTCTGACTCCTGGTCTGGTTTCTGTTTTTAGTGTGAAGTCTCTAACTTTTCTTATGAGGCTGCTTGTTCCTAAAGTTCAAGTTCACAATACTTGTGAGATCTCCTTGACTTTTAGCAAAAGGAACTTACTTTGGAGCTCTGTGTCTAGGTCCACACCAGTGCCCAGCAGGCATTGTGTACGTGGTGAGTGAGCCTGACTCTCCCCAGCTCCATAGGAGAAAGTCCTGGGCGAGCTGAGCACTGCGGTCCAGAGCCCTGCACTCCCAGGCGCCCTTGCTTCCGCCGGGCGTGGTGAGTGGCATGGGCTGCACAGGGGCCCATGCTCCGCGTCTTTGCAGGCATCGATCACCTTCTGGCCCAGCACGTGGCCCACCTCTTTATCAGAGACCCCCTGACGCTGTTCAAGGAGAAGATCGACCTGGACGACGCCAACGAGTCAGACCATTTCGAGGTACAGTCTCTTACGTGACTTGCCACGTGAGGCAAGAGACCGTTTTCTGTCTCACCTCGGGTCTCTCGTTAGTGCAGTAAAACACCACGAGAAAGTAAAAACTAGTTTAAAGTGCCCTTATGTAACTTTTCCTAGTTGTTTACTCAGTTCTACATTTCTGTGTTCATTGTTTTCTCTGGTTTGCTGAGTGGTGAAAATTGCAGCCTATCCTGCACGGAAAGAGCCCAGCCGTTGGTTTGCTTCGGGGCAGCAGCATCCGGCTGCCCTAGCTGGGCCCTCACGGCCTTGCCCTCCTGCGTCACTCGAGAGCCTAGAATTCTGCAAGCAGGCGTCTCAGCATTGCGTCCCCGCGGTGCTGCCCCAGCCGGGGGAGAGCTGCTTTCACCCTCCGCTGTTTTGTATTGCAGAATATTCAGTCCACAAATTGGCAGACCATGAGGTTTAAGCCCCCACCCCCAAACTCCGACATTGGCTGGAGAGTGGAATTCCGGCCCATGGAGGTGAGGCTCAGCCCGGCCCACGGGCGTCCCTGCTGGCGCTGCGTCTGTCCTGAGGTAGCGGAGGATGCCCAGTGTGCTGTTCTGAACAGCACGATAGGCAGGAGGCAGTGCTGGGCGAGCCGTCCCAAAGGGCCGGGGAGGGCATCGAGGCTGCCTGGCTGCTGCCGACACCCCTGGGCTTCTGCCCCTCAGGTGCAGCTGACAGACTTCGAGAACTCCGCCTACGTGGTGTTCGTGGTGCTGCTCACCAGGGTGATCCTCTCGT